ACAGGTTATCTCGCGAACGGCTGGTCCGATTTTCATGAAATTTTGTATATAAATAGCTTTCAGCAACCACCATGTCGTAGGCAAAAAATACATTTTTTTCCCCAGTAGGTTGACCAGGGACCGATCGAAAAAATTGTATTTATGGCCCGACTTGCTTAAAATTTGGTACGTAGGTAGATTTTTGCCTAAATTATCATATCCGGTTCTTTTTTTCCGGGAAGTGAACCAGAGATCGATCTATTCGAAAAACCTGTATTTATCGTCCGATTTGTTTCAAATTTGGTACGTAGGTAGCTTTTTGCCTATATCTATATATATAAAAATGGTGTAAAAAATGTATAGTAATTCATCAATTGAGAACGGTTGGGCCGATTTGGCAAATTTTTTTTTCAGTTGTTCGTAATTGCCAGGAGAAGGTTTTTACGAAAGAAAATTTTGGGAAAACCCTCCGGTGGACCAGGAACCGATCTATTCGAAAAAATCGTATTTATCGTCCGATTTGCTTAAAATTTGGTGCGTAGGTAGGTTTTTGCCCAGATTAGCATATAGGAAATTGCTGGAAATTCGATACCTGTATTATACATATGCGTGCAATAGCATTGGGTCATTGTTTTACAGCTCGAAAGGAGTTCGAAGGCGCCGGAAACATGCGGGTATTGGCTATTTAACAATACTTATTACACAGGCCAACAACAATAGGAAAAAAAATTATGCAGCAAATGTTAACGCTCTTTTTGACGTAAGCATAAAGTTTCCATCAGCTCCAGATTTTAAGAAAAACGAGGTCAAAGTGTCAAAAAATCGCGTTTTTTGCAATATTTGAGAAGCTCTAGCAAAGAAACAAAGGGTGGTAGAACCTCCCACTTAGGCGTAGATTAAAGCAAAAAATCTCAACCACTATCCTTGCAAATTCTTGCACCTATGCGTGATGGTCACTTATCGTCATTTGTTGAACAGAAAAAACTGATTTTGGGAAGTTTGAGTACCTACCGCAATTAAGCAAAAGGTGTTAGAACCTTCCACTTAGGCTTATATTAAGGCTTGGACCTCTGACTTCAATCCCTGAAAATACCATTCCTGCACTTTCACTCTAAGGTCACCTATAGTCATTTGTTGAACAGCTAACAGTGATTGTTGGGCGATAAAAAGTAAATGAATATAGGTGACTATCAGGGCAAGGTTTCAGGGATAGTAGTCTGCAGTT